GGGGAAAGAGAAGGAAAAAGGGAAAAAAAATTTAAGTTTTATTTTTCATAACAATATTATTTTATATTATTATTTTTTTCATGTCATCATTTTTTGTCACATTGTCTTTCACATGTATTAATGTTTGACATGTCATCTTATAACAGTAAAGTAACATCCCACGTCACCAGATTTTTAATGGAAGGATCAAAACATGTAAAAATGATAAACAATAAGGACCAAATCAAAGATTTTTTAAGTTTATGGATCAAATCAAAAGTATGTATAATAATTCGAGAACTAAAATAAAATTTTAACCTTATACTTTTAATTTGTACTCTAAAAACACAAATTAAAAAAAATCCCTTTAAAAAACAAAATTTGATCTAGTAATTTCAATTTAGATAACAAAAAAAAAAAAAACTCTTTGGTTGAGCAGGTACACCACTTTCAAACTCCCCTTTCTTATAAATTATAAATATTCAAAAAAGGAAAAAAACAAAATTCTTCTTGAAAATTATGTTAAACAGACACATCATAGTGAGACCCCATAGATAATAAAACAAGTATCGAAATGGATTTCATCAAAAAAATAAGAAGCATGGAGAGAGAAAGATGAGTATTTTAACAAATATAATTGAGTAAAGAAACTAAATAGGTTTAGCAATTATCATCTTAAATAATTCTTGATGAGTCAGTGCTGACTCGGATATGAACGGAAGGTTTGAATCTACAAAGAACTACTCATTTCCGACGGGGGACAAAAGGGAAACTGCATAACATGAATGCCGGTCCAAAATTGACCCCACCTGAATTATTACAACAGCGACCTTCTGAGGCACATGTAAATGATGACCAATTAATGTGTGAGAAACGTTATTAGGATAATTATTTGATTTTATTTTTTTATAATATGATATGTTATTAAAATAATTAATTTTTTTAATTTATATGAAATTTATAATATTAAACGTATCTACTCATTTAATCATATATGAAAGTTGTATAAAAAAATAAAATAAAATAATTATTCCTGTAGCATCATCCTTAATATTTAATTTCTTTTTAGGGTAATTTAAGTGTCTGGTTCTCATTGCTTCTTCTTTTTTCCCCAGTTAATTTGCTTGTTCTCTTTATTTGGACAAAAACAACGTAATAATTGTGGAAACAAACAAAACATCTTAGGCTCAACCCACCGTCAAGATGGAGCGTTTCTTTCCCTTTCTCAATTTTGAAGGGACAAGATTAGGTATAAAGGTGTAAATTCGTTTTAAAATTGTTATGTTGAAATAATTGATATTTTAAAAAATTTTAATGTAATTTAGTATTTTAAATTTTTATTTTTATTTAATTAATAAAAATAATTGATATTTTAAAAAATAATTAATAATATTTATTATTTAAATATTATTTTTAAAAAAATTAAAATTTTTTTAAAATTATAAGACTCATTTAAAATTTTTTTCAGTATCTATTTTTTTACATAAACCAGTTGTTTGTATAAGGATATTTATTTTGTCATACCTCTCGTATTGTATATACAATAATGGAATTTCCATGCCATAAAAAATTGATTTACATATATGTATGAAAATAGTAACACTGAATATCGTTCAGTAAATATAAAATTAATAGAATTTGTATTTTTTATTTTTTTAATATTTTACATTACCATATTTAACTATCAAAGTTTACTCTAAAAAATTAGAGTTTATTTATTTAATATAAATATTTTTAAGAATATAAACACAATATTAGTCACTAAATATATATATATATAAACCAAAACTAAAACTCACAACACAAACCATATATGGAGCCTGATTTTTCTGTTAATTTTGCCACAAATTCTATTGTTTCCCATGGAAAATAATTTTTTTTTTTAAGACAACAAAACAACCAAAGGAAAAAAGGGAGATAGAAAACAAGGTTGAGCCATTGTATTAGTCTCAAACCCTTGTCTTTGTTAGTTGTAACTATCACACTCTAAAAATAATTTATGTTATTTAATTTGTTAGACATCTAAGCATTGCACATTTGATTTACATGTTGATTTTTTTTAAAAAAATATTTTAATCTTTATTTGATATACAAGTAACAACATCACATATTCACATCTTGGATTCTCAGCCATGCATCAAATAAAATTCTGTCCCTTCTGATAATGAAGAGAGATTGAACTTCACATGGAGGTCTTGAATTCCTCCAAAATTTTTCTATTTTATTTGTTAACGAGATTTTGTTTAATCTTTCTTGTGGGCTTGGGTTTGCGCTCTTGGACTGGTTCTAAAAGGGCTGGATTTACAAATGAACCTTATGATTGGTTTGCCGAGCTTTAATGCTTTAACAGAAAAGCCCAACCCATTTAGTTTGGGTGATCTTTATTCTTTACTCAGAGCCCAGTAATTAAATCTCAACAAAAAAAAAAAAAAAAAAAAATTAAATCTCAACAAAAAAAAAAAACATATATTCCTCGGCAAGTAAATAAATGGCATAACCACCGCTGAAAGCCCTCTAACTCTTTGTCTTTGAAACTATTAGCCCCTCAACATTAACTTTGCATGTTTTGACCCATAAATTTCACAACATTGCTATAATTACTAATTGATTCAAAATAGACCGAATCTCATCACGCTAGTTAAGTGGTCATGCTATTATAATATAAATATGGTCCACTTATACCAATAAAGACAAAAAAAATCTCATCCAATATGAGACTCATATATATTTTTAGTAAAATTTTTCATTTATACGAGTCTAAGTAAATCATATTTCCACCAGTATGGTATTGATGATGATAGTGTGAAATGGAGTAAGGGTAACCACTTGACTTGCATGATGAGATTCCTAATATTTTGGATTAATTACAATAATCACATGAAATTTATGGGCTAAAACACATCAAGTGTATGTTAAGGGATTAATGATCTCAAAGAAAGAGTTAGAGCACTTCTAGGAAGTTAAACCTAAATAAATTGAATAATTTCATTCCATTGACGGGATATAAAATTGAATAGTCAATAATGCATCCTGAGCTGCCCTGCAGCCAGGGAAAAATGCTTTACAAAATCCAAAGAAAAAAATGAAAAATATAATTCTATCAACAATTATTTAAAACATTAAAACTGCAGCTCAGATTGGAGATGTGAATTATTTGCTGCCTCTATCAGCAACTTCAAGCTGCGTCTTCCATTTCACCAATGTCTTGAGAAATTTCTTCACCTGCACATATAGAACACGGTTTCAAATTGGAATGGTCTCTAACTGGGAACGTAATCCAGATGCATAAACATAGTTCTTAATTCTCTACCTCTGAAGTGCCTCTTAAAGAGTAAAATGCATTGCTCTCCTTCGGAACTGAAGACACCAAAATTCCATAACCTCGATTTCCTTCTCGCAACACCTGTTATTGGCAAACACTTAGATTCTCATTCAAAGTTAATAAAGATGCATTTTAGTTGAACATTATTTATAATAGCAAAAATGGCAAAAAGTAGCACTACCTTGAATGCATCCTCATCAGTCTTGTCATCTCCAATATAGATTGGAAGCACATCATCTCTGTCACTTAGGCCTGCATCATTTTGCAGAAATTACATTGGAAAGGTTAGATCACCCAAGAAGGCAATGCATTGACATGGATTTTATAGGATGAGAGAGAGACAAACAATACCAAGGGATTCAAGCAAAAATTGAACTGCCTTTCCCTTGTTCCAATCAATCACAGGACGGATCTCTAAAACCTACATTATAAGGAAACAAGTTTCTCAGGAGGAAGACACTTAAAAATGAAAAATATAAATTGACAAATGAATATTGATTCAATTACACACCTTCCGGCCATGAGTTTGTCGCAGACGAGGGTAGTCTTTTAGAATATCATGAACACGTTGTGCAATAGTAGGCCAGCTCTAAAGTAAAAGAAGATGGAATGCATATTAGTGCTAATTAACCAACAGAATGTACGTGGTGTTAATGAAACACCTACTAGCTGCCTAGCCCTCACCTTGTCATCTACATTACGGTAATGAACAGAGGCACAAAACTTGTGGTTCTCAACTTTTGCACCTTTGATTCCGTTAGTATTCTCGACAAGGGTTCTAAAAACCTATCACAAAAGCGGAAAGAATGAAATGAAATGTTAAGTAATCTGGCTCATATCAAAACAGGAATCAGTGAAGATCGCATTAATAAAAAATGTGAAGTAAACACAACAGTTAGGCACCTCGTCAATCATAGGTATGAACTCTCTAGCAGGCTGGAAAAGATTTACAACCTTCCCCTAAGAGACCAAATTAGATAAAGGTCAGCATTTATTGAGAATGACAGTGATTCAACAATCTTCCTCTGATGAAGACACAATTGGAAGAACCGGGGACGCTAAAACTCCAATCATTCCTTACCTGATGGTCAGTAGATTTAATACAATTTGGGTGGTCATCAGATGCCAAATCGCTCACAGGACTGAGGATGTCCATCCCATGACTTCCAGCATAAGAGAGTTCTGTTAGTCCTACCAATTCATAAACCTGAAAGAAAATGATTTAAGTGCATCAGACCAAAATGGCGCACAGATGATAACAACAAAGGAGAAACAGGATCATAAAAGAAATCAATATTTCTCCTCCATGTACCTTATCACGGCTTCTACCACTGATAATTGCTGTAGGGAAGTACTTGGCAACATTTCTTACGGCAGAACGCATCTGACAGAAGGTAACAACTATTTTCAGTCAGAACAGAGGCAACAAAAAACTTTTCTTTTGAAAGCAAAGCTAAAGAATGATTCTTACAGCACTAGACATAAATGCACGATCTGGATCATCTACTATAGGAGAAAGGGTGCCATCGTAATCTAGAAAAATAGCTATCTTCTTGTTCTTTGCATTTTTGATGATATGATCAAAAGATTTTAGTGCAGATGGATACTTAAGCTGCAAATCAGAATAGAAGCAGAGAATAAGAATAAACAAACTAGATATAACATTTGACATACTGTTGAAGCTAAACCGGCATAGATATACAAATCAAATGACAAATTACATATACATATATACCATCCAGGAGGAGTAAGCATTATCGCTGTCATCTGGAGGGACCTCAACATTAGCGTCCATAATAAACTTCTTGCAAGGGGGTGATGATGATCTCATAGCATCCAGCCAACCGTTGGAGAGAACATCATCTAGTTTTCCAGGCTTCTTTCTTGGAATTGTGACATACTTGGCAGGTAGCCTTGGCTTGTTCAGTGAATTGAGAACTGGAGATGCATGACTAGACTTCAACTCCATCAGCTTCAGATCAGTTAATTCAGAGGAATTGTAATAAATTGAACTAAGACCGTGTTATTAGCAGCAGCAGCAGCTTTATCAACCTTAAAATTTGCAAATCCCTTTACCCAACTCTTTTATCTATGAAAAACCACCTCTTCAATGTCTTCTTATCAGTGCTGTGTGGAGACAAGTCCATCAATCGAAAGCTTCCTGAAAACTGGTGTTAAAGAAAGAGTAGAAGACCAAAACCTGAAATTAATTACAGCCGAGCTAAAGAATTAAAATCTAAAAGTGTTTTCAAAATAAATAAATAAACATATATATATATATATATATATCTATTCAAACCTTCTCATCTCCAAGGCTACAATGCATCTATGGCAGGTTAAAACATGCTTTGCATAACGATTAATTCTTCAAGAGGATGGTAATACAGCTCCAGAGTTTGAGCTAAATGAACCTAATCTCTGCATATGCGTAGTAAGAAGCAGCATTACAATATAGCATATATGTTGCTATGCAGCAATTGTGAATCAATAAGAAACGATAACCCACCGACGACCAATATAGCTTAGTGCATGTGAATAAGAATTTAATATTTCAACAACATTAATATAGATGCGAGAGAATAATTGATTCAACAATGCTTTGATGGCACAGTGTTAACCAACATTTATTAGTACTTCATAAAGGGATCATTAGACAGGAAAATGAAAAAGGAAGCAAGAGTTTGCTGTTAGTTGGGTGGATTGCAGACTTCAACTATGAATGTAACTTCCAATTTTGGACAGATATGAAACCAAATCAGAGTAGCAGAAATAGATAATAACTTGTTCCTTTTTCGAAAATCAGTGAACAACTTTCCCAAAAAGTTTCAATCAGATGATAAACAATACATAGCAATAAAAAAAGCACATCAACATGAAGTAATTAATTTAATTTCTTGTCTCCAATAATAGATAACAATCAGGCATTGTTATTTGTTAATGTATTTAATGTATTAGCAATGACAGGTGAACAGTGGTTCAAACGTACAAGCCAGGCTTGAAGCTAAGTTTCAAAATCTTTCACAAAGAAGGTGGTTGGGAGTTTTTGAAAATGAAAATTCATTGTAAATTTTATAATGTCTACAATTTTATTAAACACCATACAATAAAAATTATATCACATCATATTATATCGCTATCAGTAAACATTACCAATTATCATTTTCCAAAAAAAAAAGAAGCAAGTTACAAAAAGCTCTGTTCTCTGAAATTATAGATTACAGAAACAGGAATATTTAAAAATTAAAAGTCAGAGATTACCAGAAATATTAAAGACACATATCGTTATTCAATTAAAAGAAGAAAGAGTATACTGTTACTTGGTTGGTCTGCAAACTTAAAACATAAATGTAACTTCCAATTTTGGACAGATACGAAACCAAATCAAAGTAGCAGAAATAGATAAAATCATTATAAATTTTATATATATCCAAATATATGCATTTTATACCACACATCTTACTCAAAACTAAAAAAAAAAAATTAGGAAAAAAATTCACCACGTGATGTTAAAAGATTTTATTATTAATAAATATTGTCAATTAAACAATTTTTTAAAAAAGAAAGACAAAAAGCTTTTGATCTCTTAAATTAGATTACAAAGGCAGAATTATTTAAAAGTCAGAGATCACCGAAAATATTGAAGTAATGGCAAATTATTGTACTTTTCCAACTGGGATACACGTAATAGCATGCGATATTAAAATAGTTGATACCTAAAAAAAAATATAGCTAGGTGTATAATTTTAATATAATATATATGTGGGGCCAACAATGAGATGGTGTATGATTTTACTTGCAGATCTAACGCATCGTTTTTGAAGTATATATAATGAATAAAACAAAAGATACTCCCCGCAACCAAAAAGAAGACACCACAACTACCAAAACTACCATTGCCTTTGAACTTTCAACATTTTTTTTTTAAAAAAAGGTTTTTTTTTTAAAAACTTGTACAGTTAAAAAATATAATTAATAAATATTTTTATAATTA